GGAGTTCCACAGAACAGGCTTGGCAAAAAAAAGGCGATTTCCAGCGAGAGGTCCGTTTCATAAAAAAAAACAAAAAAACACCACAAAAACCCAAACAGGAAAAAAAAGTGACTCCACCCGTCAGCAGGGCGGGCTGGGCCTTGCCCCACCACACACCAGCTCCTGAGGGAGCGGTGACACGGGCACAGCAGAAACCAACCGAGGAAGTTACCGGGTCAAGGTCATAAGCGTTCGCATTTAAATCCAGAAACTGATTGCTTTCACCAGGAATTCAGACAACATTCAGAAAACGTGTTTTCCAGGCAAGGGGGGACAGAACCCATCCATCTTGGTGCCTGCAATACACGTTTCCTTCAGTAAAATTTTGCAAACATTTTAGAGGAAGGAGAGTTTTCATGTTGACCTTTTCTGGTACAAGCAGTACCAGCTGAACACTTCAATAAACGTCTTTTTTCCTACATGCATTCCTTAAAGATGAGTGAAGTTGCTCACATGGAAGCATTTAGAGAGACAAAACAAAATAATAAAAACGGAAAATAAAAAGGTCTAGCATTTTCCAATTAAATTTCTTTTGCCAAGACACTCATCACAATAACATTGCTGACTGAATCACGGCATTATACAACTTGGGCGGGGAATAAACTCCTCTTTACAGCTGGGACTTTTGTGAACAGGGGCTCAGAACCTCCTTTCCAATGCTTGTTTCACTCATTCCTATGCTTTGTAACAGGCAATTTCATTTAGAATTAAAAATTTTGATGGATGTGGTCACGCTTCTTAAAGCAACTGTCCTCTTCACCCACCAATTCCTTTTGGTGCAGGGGCTGTTTTTTTTTCTCCCCCATACAGCTTCAACATCACTTAAATACAACATCTATGATGGAACTAAAGGAAATAAATCCTTTTTTTTTTCCCTCTCATCAAAATGTTAACTGGCACCACAGAGGCCAAGGCTGCATGTGTGGGAGAAATCTAAACTTCAAGTAGTCCAAAGCGGGTGAATAGTTACATTTCAATTTAAGAACGGTTTACTGTGGTTTAACATAAATCACAAGTTTATTCCCAGCTGGTCTTAAGCCTCTCTGACAAAGACATTTCTGACTAGTAGGCAAAGCTAAACATCAGCACAGGTTTTGACAGTCTGACATTGACTGTGCAGGCAGATGGGAAAATGAAGATGTGCCCGGCACGGCTGACATGCCAAGGCAGCCGGGGATCACTGTGATCTCAGCATGCTGGTGGAGCTCCACCTGGGAGTTAACTCATCCGACCTGTGCCAGACAAAAGGGGCCACATTAGCTTTAACAGGACAGTTTGGTTAAGCAGAGTTAATTTTGACTGGAACAGGTTAGGAGCCATTCAGAGGAGCTGCTGCTCCCATCCGATGAGAACACAGTGACCTCTACAAAGGGTTGCTTCTTCCAGCAGGATTTGGAAAATAACATATTTCTGCAACTTAAGTACTGTTATTTTCTCATGTAGAAAAGCCCTTTGAGTATCGTGTATAGGCTGGACGGGATGTATGAGGAAGCTTGTACTGCTGCAACCAGCCCAGTGTTTATTCCAGACCCGGTTGTGCTCACTTTGAAGTCAATTGCAATGTTCCATGGATTTAACTAAGGTCCAGGTTTGGCTCACTTCTAGCCCCCGAGGCTGGATAAATAGAAGGATTCATAGAAGTCCCACACCTTTGGCGCTGTATTCATAAAGAGAAAACTGGGCTAGCTATGGCAGCATATGGAATATTTTTCTGACAAGGAAACCATTGTATGGAAACCTCACCAGCTGCCATTTTCAGACAGTCAGGGAGCGAGGCATTTGCTTAACATATTTCATTTCTGGAAATTTTTCCACAGGAATGATAACCTCCGAGCCCACGCTCTTTGGGAGCCTTAGCTGGAGCAAATCCCTCATCCTGCAAAAGCTGTTATGGGCAGCAAATATTCTTGTCAGCAAAAGAAAAAGATATCATAGTGCAGCAGCTATGGCAGCATGTTTATCAGTAAAATTCATCAAGTGGCATAACACCACCATTTAGGGAAAATTTTCTGTAAAAACAAACATTTATAATTCAGTGACAGCTTAGGACTTTTTAATATATTGGAATATATTTTTTTGGAATATATTTTTAAATGGTTGGGGTGATTTTCTTCGACTTTTGGTGGACGAAGGGGAACTGTTAGGAGAGCCATGTGAAGTTGATGGATTAAAGCCTGAGCCAAATTAAGTCTCTCACGAGAGAGACTGGTTTTGATTCAAGCTGTAAATTTGCATGACTATCTGTGAGAATATTTATAGTTTTGTTAGAGAAGGGTAGAATTTTGAAGACTGGAGACCTTAAAACAGGAAAAGAGATTCTGCTGAAACAGAGTCAGGAAGAAAAGAGCCCCCTGTATTTGCCTGTGCATGTGCTTCTGACTGAGGATTTAGGCAGTTGCATCAAAATCCCAGTTTATATGTATTTTTTTCTTGTTATGAAATCAGACAACTAAAAATCTGTGAAAAGTGATCTAAGTGTAAACAGGATAGTATAGCCTGCTTGGAAATGTAGGCAGCCCAAAACAATAGCTTTAACTTCCAGAGGCATCTTTGTGGAGTCTGAATTTCCAGACTGACTCTGAGGCAAAAAATAAGCACTGGGGGAAATTTTGTTAGCAAGAGGAATGTTACAACTAAGGCTTCCCTATTCATTGAATGCCACGTTCTCTGGCTGTTGGCACCGTTACTTGCTCTGCTTCTCTCACACCTCCACAGGGGAAGGGGATTCCTGATGCTCTTGGAGAGAAGGGACACCCATGTCTCCACTCTTGGAGGAAGACATCTCTCCATTCTTACAAGAAAAAAAGCAGATGACAGCAAGGCCCTTACTTTTTTTTTTTTTTTTTTTTTGTTAAGAGTAGAGTAGTGAACATTATTCCCTGCTTTGTTCAACCTGACAAAAACCGTTAAACCTACTGAATTTCATAACATTTCTTGTCAAAAATCTGAGACAGTGAGAATCACAGGAACAAGTACATGAAGAAATAATAATGCATAAATTCGGATCATATATTTTAGACACGTCCATGAAGGAATTACATGGCACAGATATAACAGTTTCTGAAATATCTAACACAACGCCCACGTGCAATATTAGCAGTCCCTCATAAAGAAGTGGCTCATGATTAAAAAAACCTAAAACACAGATCAACTGTTTTGGTATATTACTGTGCTCCTTTTTCTGTGGATACGTATAGTTATGTAGTCATAGGTCACAAAAATAAACATTCAGGGCATTAAATACTAACAAGTCACTTTCTTGTATTTTACACAATCATGGAGATCTAGCTCCAGCAATGTATTTATATAATTCCTTGACCCACTATTTCATCCCTTCAATTCTTTTTAATACCTCATAGGTGTGTGGTTCAAAAAAGTGACAAAGTACAATCTGAAAAGTGCCAATTTTTGTCACCCCAAACATATGAAAATATACAGTTACAGAAAACATGGAAAGCATTTTCAAAAGGAGGATATGTGAATTTCTAAGTTACAGAGCTAGATGTAATTTGCACATTGAAGTATTGCTTCCCTTAGAGTTTATTAAAATAAAAAGAGATGTTAACAGGAACTCCACCTAAGGCCTACTTCTGCTCACCTTCAGCAGCATTATGTCTGATACTCCCACAGAGACATTCACAGTGTAGTTCCTGCCAAAAAGGGACAAGGTCACTCTCTCCTTTCCACCCTTCACTTCCAGCCAGGCTTTCTCTGATCCTTGTTACATCAGCTTAGCTGTAGTGTGGATTCCTACCAGGAGGGTAGACCTAAGAGCCTTAAGATTTCTGACAAGGACTCTCCTCTATATCTTTGTAACACATTTCATCTCAAAAGTCCACTAAAACAGTTTACTGGTGAGGTAAATATTATGTCACAGTTTGACTAACTGCTTCCCTAGAGCAGAAGGTAACTGCAGCCATTTTCCTTAAGAGTTCACAAGAGTAAAAGTATGCAGAAACATGTAGCACAGTGTACTATATCACATATATTTATTATATGTATGTTATATTATATACATACCTTTTAAGACTGGTTTTCAATCAGCTCAGTTTAGGAAACCTAAGCCCAGCTTGGGACTGGAACCACTCCAGCACACAGTTCCTAAGGTAACCACAGAAGCCATGCTGTGCAGCTGATACAGAGAGAAAAACAAGGATATTTTCTCCAGTTTAAATTACAGGAATCCTACCAGCAAGTTTTAATAGCTTTTTTTTTTTTTTTCAGTCTTTAGGGTTTTAATATTTAAACTGGTATTTAGCCAGGATAGAACCCCCAAACCTCTCGTACCCCCAGACCACTTTGAACAGAGGTTTACTTTTACTCATATTAACAACTGTCATTGTGTGTTAGGTTTTCAAATCAAAGGCACATGGAGGGTGATGCCACAGCCAGGGTAAGATAGCAGCAAATGAGGCCTAGAATCCTTCACATCAGAATAGGTGGGAGTTTTCATGTCATCTCAAGCACCTGCACATCCTACCTGTCGTACCCGTAACTCTTCTGACATGGTGCCAGTATTGACTCCGTACCAATTCAAACACAGAAGTCTTTGTGGGAGAACCCACAAAATCACAGCAGCATTTCCTGCAAGCACAGCATTTTCCTAGTGCCTCTTCCAGACTTCAGTTCCAACATCATACTTTTCCAACTGGATTTATGGCAATAACAGCACACAAACCAGAACCGAGTGAAGGGAACGAGCGTGTTAATGCAATACAACATCCACACCCCTGATTTCACAGGTGCTGTCTTCTTCCTTTTTCCACATCCATTTTTAAGCGTTTCATTTCCATCACTAAAATATTCCATTGGTGAAAACTCAAAATACCTGAGAGATTACACACTAAAAGCAGGCAGAAACTAAAAAAAAAAAAAAAAAAAAACAAAAAAAAAAAAAAAAAAAAACCCCCACCAAACAAACAAACAAAACAACCAAACAACCCTCCCCCTCCCCAAAGCCCCCAAAATGTCAACAAAACAAACCAAAAAAAATCCCAACCAGATTTCTGCGAGTATTATAACACTATCTTTCAGGCAGCCTGGGAACCTAGAGTACCAGCCAGCCTGTGACACATTTTTGGGAGTGATAAGCCTGGACCATGAGTGGTCCAGGTTACTCCCCAGGCTTCATGCATGAACTTGATCAGGTTCAGATCCTCTGAGGATACACATACATAAAAAGCCTATGTTGATTTTAAGCCCTGAGGAACTGGTATGCATCATTTGCCAGCTCTCCCTCATGAGAAAGGGAGTTCTCTGATGATCACTCTGTGTTACAGTTCACTTCTTTACACCCCTGTTAGTTGATGGAGATTTTGGAAAGACAGTTTCCCAAATGCTTTCAGTCTCTTTTAGCCAACAAAAGGCATTAATTTTCCTTCCTTGGTTTTCTTACTACTCCTGAGCTTTGCTTAGCTTTTATGCTTACGTTTTTTGCATGTGGTTTCCAAACCATGCAGTTCGCCTCTCTTCTGTGCACCTGTTTTCCTTCTTCACAATGGGCCTTCAGTTAAACCAGATCCGTGTGAGACAGTATCATGTACTTGTGTTCCTCTCCCCTGCTTGTTTCTCTGCAGGTTCTTTGTACCCCCTAGCGTATCAGGCTTGCTGGTATTTAACATTACCCTCAATCTGTATTACACTCCTGAGAAGATTTTACTGCTTAAAATCCATTGCTTGAAGGCAGGTTTAGATGAGCTGATTTGTGATGTCAGGCTTCATTTTTCCTGTGAATTCGTGTTGCAATGGGAGACAGCAATGTTTCATGACTCTGCATTGCCCCTAGTCTGGAATACAGGTGATACAGCCTCTGCCCTGACCTGGTGTACGCTGAGGAATGCACCATACAGCTATTTCATAAACTCAACCAGAATTTGTGATGGACTGCACAGACTATGTTGTCAAAGGGCATCTACCTTAGACCTGTGTAGATCTTTAGTACACAGGATTTTTGCAGAAACAATTTTCTTGCACGTTTTGCATTTTTCTCAAAACAACCAAGCTGTGAGCTTTGATCTGTGGGGCTGTCTATCTAAACACCTTCCACTGTTACTAAACTTATTCAAATTAAGATAAGAGCTAATCCTACGCCCCAGGCTGTACCAGTTATGGAGTGCTGAGCATGCACTTGTATGTAAACCATTACCCTTCACACGCAGCAGAATACAGCCTTGAAATAAACAGTTTCATCAAGGAGTAACAGATGGGAGTGCTTTTGTTTCCATTGCATATTTGCACAAACTTGTCATTAAACTCTTAAGGTGTTACAACTGGATAGCTCTGTGTTTTACTGCCTGGTGGACATAACCCAGCTTACTTACGTGGGCTGACATCTTGCAACACACATAGAAGTCACCAGTTTAGCCCTTTCCAGGTCAAATTTTCTAGAGTTTGTTTTGATCTTCTCCTTTGGGTTGTATCATTTTGAACTCTTTGCTTCATCACTGTAAATGACTTTCCAGCCCCACAAAGTTTCTGGGTGGAACCTAATATGACACAAACACAGACAAATACCTACCTTCCCTCCCCCTCCAGGAAACAGAGAGTGAAGCAACTCGGGCAATCCGACACTCAGCAGCATTACAGAGAGTTTTCAAATCAGGTCAAAAGTTGAGCGGAGAATTTCCTCCTCTTGGGTGGAAGAAAAGAGAGGTTCTCTGATAAATTCGTAGGAAGCTGAAAGGACCCTCCCAACTGTATAATGTATTTCAACAGCACATTTCAAAGCATTGCCTTTGCATTTTCAATTGAAAGATATTTGGTTTGCGGCAGAGTTTCTGAGAAAATAGAAACCAAATATGAGTAAGACAGTTTTTCTGGCACTTCCTGTTCCCCACTATAGTCTGCACAAGGCAGATGGTTTGTACTCAGCTGGCAGCAGGTAACTCCAGTGATTATAACAGCTGTGATTCCCTATAAACTGTATTAGATTAATGCTGTTTACTACTGCTCTTACATTTGTTTTCAATAGCAAGTTATTGCACTGCTTTTCCTATTGCTCAAGCACTACCAGTTTCTTTGGTATTTTCCATCCTGCAACTGCAGATTAAAATGTTAAAGAAAGACTTTCATCATGACTTGTATGTAAACTGAGAAAGTATAAGATATTACAAGTGCCTACACCTACAATATCAGAGACTTGACAAAGCATGTGTTTACAGACACTCCATATTTTTAGAGGTTTAGAAGAAGGTCTTCACCCCACAAATACTAACAAATTATTAACAAAAGGAAAGGCGCCAATGTTTTGTGAAGTCATGAAAGTGACATTTTGTCCTCTTAACTGACCCCGATTTCCATATGCTGCACATGAATTACGAAGAGAAGTCACTGTTGTGGGGTTAACCAAAAGGTTTTAATCATCATTCAACCATCGTTTAATAAACAATAGTTAAGTGATAATCAAACAGCAGTCAAACACTCTACTTACTACAATTTGAATAATTAAGCTAGTTGGTATACAATATGCTTTAGACCTAATATCAAACATCGCTTACCTCTCTGCAGATATCAGATGCTAGGTAAGGGATCTCAAGGCTTGCACAGCCTCTTTTTTGGTGATGCCCAAGCCAAAGTATCATTATCTCAGAGTGGGTGCACCTGTTTAGGGAAACAATTTTGGAAAAATCACAGAATCGTGGAATTGTCAGAGTTGGAAGGGACCTCCAGAGATCACGGAGATGGGATCTGGAGTCAGTCACTCACAAAGCTCTGTTTCGCCTTGATTCTGGCTCTGAGCACCTCACAGCTCCTCCTGTCAGGCCATGCATCTACAGTGTTTCACTTTTACTGTGCTATTCACTAGACCCGAACCCTCTCCCATATCTTTAAATCCTATGTTAGGGTACACCATATTGAACTATCCTTCTATTCTCTCATCTACTATATGCCCCTCTTTCTTCTTTGGATGGTAATTTTGTGGAGAAAGAAGTGCCTATAGCTTATTAAATATATTAAGTATGTCAAAACAATTGTGGAGCTGAAAATATGATTGCTCAGTGAACATCAGTTCACTGGATAATTTTGGTTTACTATAGGCCTAGCATATGACTTCATCCTGCCCATGCTTTAGATGTCCTTCCCTAAAATTGGAGATAAATATGACTCCCCTATCCTCAGGGTGAGGATAAAAACCAAGAGGACTACATAAGGATAAATATTCTACGTATACAATTATTAGTCAAAATTGAAAGGCGTGATAAAAAAATAAATCCCAAGACTACTAGAACACGAAGTTCAAACTGTAGTTAGAAGTGTAACTTCTCAGACCTTCTGATCATTGAATCTAAAGCCTGTGGGGGTCACCTGCTCACAGCAAGCTCTGAGGGGCTCCTTCACCTCAGTAACAATATGGATCAGCACCTCCTCAACCAATGCCTCCAGCTGCAGCAGCATCCTCTTGAGGCATAGTTGTTGGAACATAATGAACTAGGTCTCATACGTAGAAGTAGCATAATCTTCCTGTGACTCATCCCTGACTCACTCAGGAGCCCTTCCCACATTCAGGGAAAACCGTGTCATTCAAGCCGTCTTTAGCACAGATCATCTTTTACCCAAGATTGCTCAAAACGTTCTGCCACCGTTAAGAAAAAGAAGCACTGAAAGGCTACCTTTCATAGGTGTCCCAGCCCCCCAGGTAAGCACCCTAACCTCCGACCAGGGACCAGACGCTGGGAGAGCTGGATGACACAATATTTAACCGAAACTGAATAAAACCAGTTTTGTGTTCTCAGTATTGACAGCAATGAGGCAGTACGTCTATAAGGGGAAGAAGGTACATTCAGAGCTGAAGTTAGAGAGTTATTCCAACAAACATTGCCTGCTTCACTGGTGCTTTGAGTCAGTACATACTTCTTGCCTTGCCTTTGAATCCCAGGGAGCGAGAGTCTCCTGGTGGCAAGCGAGCAGCACGGCTGTACAGCATCGCACAGCTCCCTTCTGCCCATCACCCAGGACCCCAACAGCATCCTTCTGCCACAGCACTGCGCATGGAGCCAGGGGAAAACAAGCAAAACACAGGCTCAGGCGTGCTGGTAATTTGCCCTTTCCAAGGAATTCTTCTCTCTTCCCTTTTCTCTCCAATTCAGCCAGTCCTAGATGGTTACAGTGGGCACCAAAGGCTTTTTTCGGTTGGTTTGTTTTGCACCCCTCATCCTTACTTTGAGCCCTACAAAACTTCTTTGATTGAAGTTTTGAGGGAGGGAGCCTCATTATATCCTGAACAAGGCTTGCATAAAACATAAAACTTTGTTATATTTTTTCAAAGCAGCTGCCATCAGCAAAACCTATTATCTGCAGTGGCTCAAAGCACAGAGGAATGACAGCTCAGTGCTAACAGGTAAGATTCAGACCTTCAGTCGATCAAAATACATTACATAGCGAGTCAGAGCCCTCTCCTGGAAAAAGGGAAAGACATTTTGTCTTTTCTTTAAATATATTAAATACATTACATAGCAAATCAGAGCTCTCTCCTGGAAACAGGGAAAGACATTTTGTCTTTTCTTTAAATAGTTGTGCTATATCATCTCCACAAATATTTAACACCCACAAATATGAGCCACTGACATTCCTGCTTCCTTCAATTTTAATTTAATCCTACAGCAGGGAATGAAAAATATGTTAAGAGAAAATACTGTATATGATGCTCAAATGTAAATAGACCAGAATTAAGGGGGTGTCAAAGTTTACAGTTCAGTTACAGACTGTGGTTAGTTGGTTTTATTTATTTGTTTAGCCTCAGCTGCATTAATTGAATTGCTGAGGCTTCACAAAATTCAAATATCCCAGGAAGATACGTGCACACAATAATTCTTATTTTATCTTATAGATTTGCCAATAGAGGGAGTCCTTTTACTGATCTCAGCTGCATTAATTGCTGAGACTTCACAAAATTCAACTATCCCAGGAAGATACATGCACACAATAATTCTTATTTTATCTTACAGATTTGCCAATAGAGGGAGTCCTTTTACTGTCTACTAAAACTTTATCGATGTGAATATTCACAAAGGTTTCAAATAATGACTGTGCCCCTGCTGTGCAACTATCATTGCACTAATAGCAAGAATAAAAAAGGTTTGCAAAATAAAGTCACCTCAGGGTATTTAGCAGATAAAACATGGGGTAGTATCAGCCATCCAATCACTAGAAGTGCACTGGAGAATTCAAGTGGCCGTTTGTGTCATTACAGCAATTATATCTATGGGCACAGCTATGAAACATCCATGAGAATATGACTTTTAAACACATTGAGAAGTATTATGGTAGATAACTATACAGTTCCCCTCTGTTGGCAAATCAATATTTAACTGTAAAACTCATTGGAGTTGTTTCCTGGTGGTGCAGTCAGAGCTTGTCAAACAGCTGGTATTTGCTTAACTCCTGCTGCGGTTTGGAAAAAATGAAAATCATCTTTATTCTACATTGTCATTTCTTTAAAATTTTGTGCAATTAAGGACAACCAAATTAACTTGGTATGCAGTAAGACCTTCCCGCTTTCACTTATTCTTTCATCACAACATGAACCAAACCTTCTTTTGAACTACGAAAATGTTAATTGTGCAGTAAGACCTTCCTGCTTTCACTTGTTCTTTCATCACAACATGAACGAAACCTTCTTTTGAACTACGAAAATGTTAATTTAGTATGGTGGAGCCATTGTTTGGATCATTGCTGTTTCTGTTGCTTACCCTCTATGTGAAGTGGCCAGTTCCCTTCTGACTTGATGGAAAGATTTCAACAGCTGATCTGGTGATGAGTAATATTGCAGATTAGCTTGGACGCAGCATCTTAGTGCACTGAAGGACGACAAAAAATGAGCAGAAATAACACTCATTGCACTAAAGTAAACTCTTTACAACTGCAATATATTGCCAGGGCTAGGAGAGTTCTTTGGAAATATTAAGTAAGCAAACCAAGAACTGAGGAGCCATCATGTTTACTTGCTTAGAGGCGTGGTGACTTACTAGCAGTATCATAAGAATAAAAATACAAGGTTACGGTCCCATCTGTGACAGTAGCTCCTCCATTCTCACAGAAATTGTCATTTTTATGGCAGTTAAGACTTAAGTGCTCGCAAAGCAACCTCTAAGCCTCTGCTTTTTTTTTTTTCTTTTCTTTTCAGCATGACATATCACAGTGAGCCTTTAAAAAAAAGCAGTATTACCTGCATCGGTCCCCTCCCCTCCTCTCACCGGTACCTGAGTTCACACTCAGATTCCAGCAGCAGTCCTAGTCCCAACCAATTCTCTTCGAAAGTCAGTTCACAATGGGGGCAAACCAGCACTAAGGAAACTCGGAACTGACACAAAACTGAACCTAATTGTTGATGGAAGCCAAATACGAGATTATTTTTTTTTATTCCCTCCTTTCAAATGAGTAAAACTCTTCATTTTATAGTCCTTGCTAACACTGCAAAACAGATCAGCTTTGCAAGTTTTGGATGTCTGGCCATTTTAGATAAACATTCCAACCTTTTAAATGTTTACAGACTAAATGGCAGAGCTAAATGTTTATGTTGCACTGAATAACTTCAGCATTGTATTTAAGAGAGAGGCTGCTGAAGTAATATTGTTTCAATCAGTAGGTGAAGACACACACTACTGAAACAACCAAAAATTTTAAAGGAAGATATTAATACTAGTCTGTCTGTAAATATTTAGCACGTCTCTATGTAGTAGGCTTTATAGTTGGAATATATAAAGCTTCCAAAGTTTACATGATCTCTAACTTTAAATGTATTCCCAGGCCTTTTGATAAGAATTAATTATAACTATTAGCTTACACAAAAATTAGAATGTAGCTTTTTGTATTCAGCCTCTAATTCTAGTTTGGTATGAGATAAAACCTTGGTCTTGTATTTTAAGGAACATGGCCCAAGATATTGCTAGGAACAGGATTTGGATCCTATTGATATACACGTGCAGGCCAAGAGTGAAATGTCACTTGGTTTTAAGAATGCCTCGTGTACATTCTGACAGGTGCAAAATTACATAGAGTGGAGAATGGATCTGGTCCAGAATAGATCGTTCCTGGAGAAAAAACATCTTTGCTTATTCCAATCTGTACTCAGTTTTTTCTCTACAAATCTCTACATCTAGCTTTTGCCTGCTCAGGTTAATTTGAATCATGCCTCTCCCTCCTTGCTGTTTACGTTTTTCTTATTCTTTGGGGACAGCAACAATATCTAATAGTGTGTAAATCTGAAAGTATGTCATTCGCTCCAGAAAACCACTTTGCTTGCAAAATGAAAACAAACTGGAGTGCGACGTTGCTTCTAAGCAGAGGAAAAACAACATGGAGAGAGTTGCATGGTGGCATCAGCTTGCAGGCTGTGTTATTCATTGCTCAGCTTCTCGTGCAAAAAAAACTTTCCACGTTAAAGCAGTACAATACAGACAAGGGTATTTCTTAACTTCTGTGGTTAACTTGTATGTTTCCATTTCACTGCGAGGTTGGGATGGATGTGCTTTCCACAAGGTCAGGAGAGTTTGCCCTGGATCGGCTCCTCTGGGGTTCATAGCATTACACGTTTCCTGTTTCGCACATGACAACACAGTAAGGTTTTTCAGACGCAAGCTGTATGTATAAGCCTTCTGAGCTGATTTACTACTTCACTGTTGCAACAGAGTCACAGCACAAAGGCAAAAGAAAGCACTCTTGGTTGAAACCTTTGTCATCTTTCTATCAAGTCCTTCAGAACCTGAACTCGGGGCCCTCAGCTGAAACAAGTTGAATTCAGAGAGCGACCACCTCAGCATTTAAACTGGGTTTTTAAATCCCTAAATGTAAAATGATGAGATACAGGATTTTAGTTTTGTCTTTTGTCCATTGCTTAGTCAAGGCATCCCTTCTAATGAACCCAGAGGCAGCAGTTCCTGAATCAGCTGTTTAAAACTGGCATTGCTATTCCTTTTCCACAAACTGTTTCACCTATGCTAAAAATGACAGGCTGCTCCTCACCTCATAGAAATTTCTGAAATTTCTAAGTTATTTAGAAGTCAAACATGTCCAGTGTTTTACCATAAGTCTGTTTCTCTGCTGTACTGCAGATAAACTAGGGTTTTCATAGGAACTAACATCTTTGATGTTAATACGTTGTATTTATGTACCTGCCGTTAATATTTTCAAAGGCTATTGTATTTTAAAAAGGATCTTTTTGAAGAGAGGGCAATACCAAAAGCATGGAAATTACAAAGAGAACTGTAAAGGAAATGACTGGTGAGAAAAACGGTTTTCATGAGTTGTTTTAATGAGTTGAAGTGGAGATGCAATTTGGACATCCATCTGAAAGGCCTGATGGTGATCTGTGAAACTGGTGCAGAGAAGGACTATGATTTTAAGACTGTTTATATCAGCCAAGTATCACTGAAATTACGCCTGAAGACTTGGCATAGGTCTCACTTTTCCCAAGACTGCTGGAATCACCGTTCAAACCAGGGTGCTCCATCCCTCATGTACATTTCTGTTGCTGTCTGGTCAGAGAGCATCTTTAGAGCATCTTACAGCTAACAAATTGTCCGAAATTGTCAGGTTTGTCCTGGTGTAAGACACAATCTTGAAATATAGCTGTTTTCTGGATGTGAAACTGAATTATAAAGCAGGACTTTTGACTAATTGACAGAATCTGAGAGTCCCCCATACTGGGATTGCTATCCGTAATTTACAAAACTGTCTCCTAGGAGAAAACATCTGCAGAACGTAGGACAGAACAGCAGGAGGGGATGAAGGCAGCCTTCTTTTGTGGGAGCTGCAGCCCCCGCAGCCAGAGGGGAGTCCCAGCCCTGTGGGGACTGGGGCCAAGGCAGGTCCCTCCTCCCTCCTGCTGCTTTCCTACCTTGCCGTCGCCCCAGAGGAGGCTCTGCAGTGGAGGACCCTGGCTTGCCTGCTCCCACCATCAGGAAAGGAAGACGCAGACAAAACTGAGCCAGAAACAGTACATCATCCCGCAGGACATTGCTCTCTAAACCTAACATTTGGGAAATTAATTCCAAGCAAGAATTTAAGAAAATATGTAGAAACATCATCGTTTCCTTCTGGCACTTCCAAAGATCCTGGCAACTGAGTAAGCCCCCAGCCTGTAACCAGCTTCAAAGGTGGACCACCTCACTTCACACGCAATGAAAAACAATCTGATGCCTGCCTGAGTGTCTCAGCGAGCTGTGCACAGGCAGATCCACAGGCAGGGTGCAGGGGCTGCTTCCATGAAATTCAGTACAGGACTGGAGCCGAATTCTCTGTTCTGACAGCTGTTTGGTAGCATGCAAGACCCTAGCTGGGGAGCTCACATCAATCCTCAACAGGCACATGCTCACCTCTTAAAATAGTACATTCTGGCAATAGATTGTAAAAAGAGCACAGATACACATGCTATAAAACCTAATTACCATCACAGCCCACATCATGGCCTGCCATTGCCTATGATGCATAGTAAAGGAAGGTTTTACTCACCAGGGCTCTGACAGCTCAGCATGGTGACTTTCCACCCCTGCAGTACACTGGAGAAATATATCAGAGGAGAGGTTTCCATCTATTTTTCAATAATGAAATATTTTTTTCAAGAGTGACATCCTGAATGCTAGAAACAGGGAAGAAATAGCATTGATTTGTCTGGTTGTATTCCGTGCCAAATCAAGACTGATCCCAACTGTACATTTACTCATGCTCCAGCCAAACTACTGTTGTATCTGAGGAAGTGGTTCCACTGCCTTCACCGTTGCAGTCTTTGAGTTCACCATCAGCAGAGCAGAAAAGTTTTCATTTCATGACCGCAACCTATTACTGTCTATTATACCACCATTTAATTACTCACTTCACTCGCCAATGTTTGTGTACATCAAGGATGTGCTGGCATTTACCTTGAATTCTCTGCAGAGACTTCAACATTTTGTGGGTTTGAAAAAAATAAATTCCCTATTCTTGACTCTAATAATGTACTATATGAAGTGCTAATTAGCTGCTTAATCTTTCCTCTGCATATATTTTCTAATCTGTCCGTATTATCCAAAAATAACAGCTAGGCACTGAATATCAATTCAATGACCAGTTCTGACCACTACCTTCTACACCTACAACCCCAAGCTTGCATAATATGTATTTCATGGCCAGAACATCGAATAAGCATATCTAAGGCTATGACATTATTGCCACCTTCCTGTATTTTTGAGTTTCAAACTATCCTTCTATAAAAGAATGGTAGCGTATAAGCTGCAATGATCCGTGGCAAATCAAATTCATTCATTTCTTAGTCAAGCATCTTGTTTCCATAGTTATTGCTCAGCCCATTCTAACATTTACAGTTTCCTATCAATCATATGGTGTTATCTGAATATTTTACTAATATTCTGCTCCTGTTTTCTTTTACAGTAGGCTCACAATGTACTTTCAGTTCATGTTTTTAAAAATAAGCAGTTCATCTATGTACACAAGATTAAAAAACAGAATAAACATTTGTTCAGTGTTATCTCCCACTATGCCTTACATTTGCAATCTATTGCTTCTAACCCTGAGTTCAACTCTAAATTTATTATACTCCAGGCTTTTAAAATTTGTTTGAAGCTTATCAATTGAAACTCTACAGTCCTAGTAGTGGAAGCTTAAGAAGCCATTTCCTTACCATCTGTGTTAAATTAGACTCTCACTACTACCTGTATGATCAGAAGTAGAAGAGTTGAGCAACTTCATTTTTAAAATCTCTTTTCCAGGATCTGGGGCTGGGGGTGGGGAAAGGCTTCAGTAGTGCAGCCAGGTTACTAGATACAAGTTATTAACAGGAATTACTTATGTTCTTTATTGATACATAAGGAGTAAAACACTATTTCTAAGTCAATCTAGTATTCATGTTAGATGCAAGTGTCTAATAGGTAATAATAATAGATTAACATGACCAAATCACACAAAACCCAAGCTGAGTTATGTGGGTAAGTGGAGTCACTTCAGAATATTCCGCAAAACAATTCCTGATGTTTTTGATGAAAGCTTACATTCAAAATCCACTTGGATTTCTAGTCAGAAGAGGCCCAGTGAAGTAGGGGAGATCTCCCCTCAAGATAACCCTTTAACAGCTCTCCCTCAGAAACCAGATACGCAGAGGGATAGGAATAGGGTGGCAGGGAATGCATGCTTACAACAAGAGAAAATAGCAGCTGCTACTATAATCGCGATGCATTTCTGATTCTAAGGCAGCTTGAGAGTTGCAAGGTAGTGGTAAGCATTACTAACTTTAAAAAAAAAAAAAAGCAAAAGCAAAACAAAACAAAGCCCAGACCTCTAATTCAGTGCCAAATTTGGTGTGTGTAATTTTAACCTCTGCTGAATGACCAGCTGAACACAATGAAACAAGGACAAGCTAAAGTGAAGTCACAGGAGATTTAGGTGGGATTTTGAGCAAGGTTCTCACTCCACTCCCAAAGTCAAATGAGCTCTTACTAATCCTATCCTTGATAAATTATCATTTAAATTGACACAGCTACTGATCCTATTACTGGTTAGGTACAAAAGCCACTTTATGCGTGTAATAATTCCACATGCATTGAGGTTTCCACTCAACAGGCTGTCTAATGTCTGCAGTTCAGGACTGGGGCACTGCACCTTTGGCACGAAAAAAAAATTAAAAACATCTCAGTCCAGTGTAGTTACAATAAATTGATAATTAACGGCTTAATATGGTGTGCAATGAAAGGTTGAGGATAAGGTGAAAGGGATGACTTTTGCCTCTGCTACAGTTTGATAGTGGGAAGACTCCTTTGGATCCCACAGATTTACATAGACTGTTGGTTGAAAAGAAAACATTGTGTGGATTTCTATGAGGCTTCTGTGAGAGGCAACAAAAGTTGTCCTTTCTGAGAAATGTACCCAGAATGAGAATATCTCCTGCTGGACAGCTTGGACAAAGAACTGGAACTGCCAAGAGCTGAGGAAAGCTGCCAAAGGAGAGGGAAGAAAATTAAGCAACAGAAAAGCACTAACAATTTAACAACAACATCTTTAGGGCAGGGAACAGCAAACTTACAAATACCGACAGTCACCGTACACAGAACACTCTGAAACAGGAAAGAGCCAGAAATTCCAGCTGGGGAGCACGGTAGAAGACTTTGAACAGGAAATGGGGAGATCACATTACCGTCGTTCAAAATGCATGATTTTCAGAGAGCGCCCAGATAGACAATAAAACAGTTACAATCCTATAACCCCTTTAAATACTATGAGTAGTAAAAGTTTCACATATGAACTGGAGTTAAGATGCTCCACAGTCTAACCTGCAAGCACCCTTTATGGATTACCACCTGTAAACTCCAGGAATCAGAGCCTCAGACTTCACTCAGGAAAGCGTGACACACACATGTGAGACTGCAGACACGTTCAGGTAATGTTTTGCTGCCAGTCACCAATCCCTGGGCTTTCTTCAGTTAATTCCTGGATTAAAATAAAATCTGCATCAATCTTTGCATGAAAACAATAAATCTAAGCCATTAAAACTCCTGTGCAGAATTACAATTATGCAGCCACTCAATTATTACAACTATGACTTCAAAAGTAAAACCTATCTTTTTTCTTCCATATCCAAGATAGATAGAAAAACCTCAGAAAACCAACATCGGCATATTCCAGAAAGTTTCCAGAAAATACAACCAATGACATGGTGAAGCAAGAGAATATTCAGTTCTGTCCTCAAACAAATTCTCATTTTTCTTCATTCCAAGCGAGCATTCTCACATGTGCTTTTATGTGAGTTTGAGAAGGAATTTCAAAGAAATATCTTTCTTTTTTTTTTTCTACTCTCATGTAATCAGGACTGACTTTAACAAGAAGTTACACCTGACTGTGGAAACTGAGCTGCTGCATTACTGCCACAGAGAGATTAGATACTACTAAAATTAAGAACATGGAGCCACATGCCATGCTTTGCAGCATAGTTACTTCTCTCATTACAATCTTCAGCATATGCTTCTTCAGTAGGACGCAATTTGGTGTAGTTACACACAGTATGTGTCTATGCATTTGTAAATGCATTCTATCTTTCAAATAAATGTGGCAGTTATCATATATACCTGCAACTGGTATTTTATTTTAGCCTTAGCTGCACACGGCTGTGAGTTTCCTGTTTTATTTGCTGGAATTTACATATAAGAGAATAAGAAAAAATGGCATCCATTTAGTAGTGGAAGCAGTCCTGGGTAAGGATCTCTTGATTACCATTGACTGTATAAATAATTATTAAAAATGTACAGTAGCTGGCACTGAACTCTACGTGGCAGTAATGTACCAGCTCAGTCTGTACAGCCAAGGCTTAAAATAGGTAGGGGATTACATGATGCAGGTGTAAATTAAGAAGGTATTAGGACTGTGTCCCATGAACTTTGAGGAAAAGAAACAACCCCCCCAAAAAATGTAAAGAATTTATGATTTACGACAATTTTGGGAAAGCATCACCCCCCTCTCTCCTGGGTCTCCTTTGGCATGACTACCAGAAACTGCTCTTCATCTTTCTGAGAACGTATTCATGCTCAGTAGTCTAAAAAATCTAATGATATTTTTGAGGTCATCGTGTCTGGCTTTGTAGGATCTTTTGGAACTGAGCTCTGCAATTTTCCACCCTAAGACATCTGATAGCTACACCAAAAATAGCCCCGTGGCAGTTCCTCTGTTGAAGATGCACCTACTGGTATGTGTCGTGCTGATCATAGTTTACAGTCCTCTTGGACCCTCAAACTACTGCTGATGCCCTAGGGGCTTTAACAGAATGAGTCTCAGTGTGCTCTTTAAACAATCATTAATAAGTTATGCCCATAATAATCCACATTAGAAGCGCATCTATTTTCTGCACATCAAGTGTATACAACTTACCATGTTCTCTGACCACATGAGGTGAGGGGGGGGGTGGGTGAAAATCAATAAGTAGAGGGTATGAAGAACATCTTCGCATTGTTTGCACAGCTGTGGTGTCATTTTTCCCCCTTATATTACGTTCCCCAGTATTCCTGTCCCAACCAGTTAAATACTCAACAAAATCAACAGATTGCCCCCAGTAGCTTATTAAAAGCCAGTACTTAGAAGAGCTGGACAAAATCCTGCTTCTATGAGTATCCACTCACACAGCTTAGAGAATTTTGAACTAGTGTCCTCCCTCCTTAGACTTTTGCCCCCAAACCACTTCACCAGTAGGGCTGCTGGGGTGGACACCTCCAGACATGGTTCCATAGCCGCCTACGGGAGTCCATGGCAGTGAACGCTGCTGCAGCAGGAATGTTTCCAGGCAGGCTTTGCTTTACGTTTTTCTTCATATACATCAAATAGTTGCATTCTGTAAGTAAAATCAAAGATTATATCAAAAAGAATAAAAATGCTTGAAAAAGCTTAAGTGCAGCTTGATAACTTACCTTAATTTCATATTAAATGAAGGTTTATAGTATCTAGTCTGCTATTCTAAAACATCTCTCTTTTGCCAAGATGAAGACAGTACAATGACAAAGGCCTATATTTCAGCACTGCAATACGAGCCAGCAATTTCTATTTTATTAACTATTCAAGAAGATTTTTTTTTGCTTTTTCTGATAAGCTGATAAAATAGAATTTCAGAAGCAAATAAATTGATTTCAAAATTAAAAATTAAGAGAACCAAAAAATCAGTCTTCGTTATCCTGTCACTTTCCTGTAGCCTGAAGATATTAAGACGGTATATCTAAATTAATTACTTGATATCTCCAGTCTTGTTCTTCTTTCCATTTATGGTTTTTACCAGTGTAATTATTGCATAGATGAACCTTCCAAATAGGAACCTACAGACAAGAACATGGTGAGGCTTGGAAAATCCAGCCTATTTCCTTCTTTCAAATGTAAGTTTGTCAGAACTTTCTTATTGGGGAAGCATGGAAACTGAAGCCCTCTCAAAACACGAGCAAGAACCAAACTAATCATATTGATCACAAGCTAAATTGTCATGAAACATAATAATATGTACCAAATGTGAAGAGAGGAATGGAGTAGGTAGGGTGAGGGGGGGCATCTTGAAAAGTGAGAGCATGTTTGATAGCACCTTCCCATAAGGGGTAGGGTATCCTTCCTCTACCCTGCGAGCCTTTCGTTATCACTTTCCAACTGTTGGCTTCAGCCAGGAGTGGAGGAAGGTTACCCACGCATGTGCTAATTTGGTCAATTCATTCTTTAAGAGTTGCCTTGATTTAACATAAACATAACAACTGCATGAACTAAAGTACATTATTCATCTTCCTATCTTTCCATGCACTTGCAAATGTGGTATGTAACACATCGTATTATTACCCGGCTTTAAGCTGGCAACATGGAGAAAGTCTTGCAAATGTGGTATGTGACACATCGTATTATTACCCGGCTTTAAGCTGGCAACATGGAGAAAGTCTGACCTCAGCTTTGACAATAAGGGTACAGAGAGACAGGGAAGATTAGAATATGGAAATTAGTAAGGATTCAGATGCTAGAGACTTCAG